CAAGGAAGTATTTGCTAGTAGCAGGGTCAGAGAATAAACTAGCATACGCTGAGGGGGGGCGGTGACCAAAAAGTCACAAGCATGTCAACACCGAAAGACTGAACTCTGCTTCTGCTGATGAGAAGCGCCAGAGCCACAGACGGGAGGTGAATGGCAGCAGCATGCTTTCATTGAACTGTCCGCTAATGAAGCGGTGAGAAATTAGCAAGCCCTGTGATTTCCACGTTAATGCTCCCTCATGCCACCTGCGGGCTTCCTGCAGGCAGAGGCACAGAGGAGTGGAAATGGTGTCCTGCATCCAGCCGCCAGCCGGCACTGCTTTTCTCTCTCTGCCGAGCAACACAGCAGCCCAGCTTGTCCCCATTCACTATTCAGCAAGCAGTTGGCAGACTTCCCTCAGAGCACGGGCAAGCCTCAGCTATAAGAGCAAAATGAAGACAATGAAAGGAATTTTAAAAGGCTTCCACCTTTTTGCACTTTCTGTACGCTCTCTAAAAGTTGACTCAGCAGGCAACCCTCTACCTCTTCTGCAACACTGCCAACCTCTCCCCCTCGCCACAAGAATACGCCAGTGGGGATGGTGACTGTAATCAATGCACTCTGTGAAACACAACTCAGGAATAGGATTGGTGAGACATGGCATCCAGAAGCTGTTCTCGCTGCATTTATCATCATTACTTAAAAGAGGGGAGTTTCTTTTTGTAAAGCTGCAGCATGTATTCCTCTAACAGGACTGCAGCTCTGCCTATCCACCAGATCCCTAGACTCCCCTGTTATGAAAGAAGTAACAGTTCTCACCCCAAAAACACATGCCAAGGGAAAGCAGGAAAGGACCGTCTTAGTCTAGTGGCATCTTTCAGGCAAGAGGCCAAGTCAGAACTGAGGAGACAGTGTGTGATTGTATATAGAACAGCCTCCCGTATTATAATCATATATTTCCTTGGACATCCTCTGACTGCCAAAAGAATAAGGCTGCATTTGAGCTCCCCCCGGTAAGCTAGGCCTGATTTTAAGACCAGTAGGAAGGGGGAAGAATGCTACAGTCTTCCCCTTTTCTCTAGGGTCACAGGGTAATTGTGTGGCGGGAGGAACAGGGCCCTAGAGATGGTGTGACAGTCACTTCTCATTACCTCCCACTTGGTTCATTACATCTGTAGACAGCGATTGCCCATGTGTGGATACTTCCATTACACAGAAGGATGTAATGTGCTATAGACCTCAAATGGCTTTCAAAAGGAGAGCAGGCAGTTTATTCCAGGCACATACCTATCTTGTTTCTAAGGGCCATGCCAAAGGAATAGAAAGTGACATAAGGAATAGATTAGTGGTGATCAATACAGAAGAACAGGCCCCGTACGTGCCTACCCAGTGAGATATGTATACATGTGCAACCCATGAACATATAACACAACACACAAAAGACAGAACCCTCACTTACTAATCTACAAATTTTACTTTAACAAACAGACCCAACTCATTCGGGTGTATGTACATAAGCTATTCTGTGGGCCCTCTGAACTGGCATTACTCCTTCTCTCACACACATTCTGTGTGTGTGTGTGTGTGTGTGTGTGTGTATGTGTGGGTGTGTGTGAGCATGAGAGAGAGAGATACATTTTTCCTTTGCAAGGGTGAGTCCTAGGAACAATGAAATGCAGATATATTATTTCATACTTTTTCTCAAGGGTGTAAAAAGCCCCAATTAGATTACAAACTAAGGAGAATTAACAAAAAAGACAATTATAGAGAATTATAGATTGTTAGAATCAGGAATGAATCTTAGGTAGTATCTACAACAGCAAAGCTCAGACTTTTTCTTTAGAACAAAACAAAACCACCTCTCCCTAAAAGTTAATAAGAGGTACCTACAAAAGTACCCACAATGAAATAAAGCCGAGGTGCTACATACTATAGCCTACCACTGGGAATTCACAATGATGTCAACTTATTAAAGGTTCTGAGAATTCCTGTTACAAAAAAAAAATTCTATTTAACTCAGGATTTCCATTATTCATTCAAGGAACACTTTTTTTAAATTGCAATCTTACCAATATCCTACAGAATAATTGTGCTATAGTAAGAGATCCTGTTCTACTACAGCGCCATCATTTTCTATAGATCTCCTATGTACTAGTAATTCACAAATTTTCACTCATTTGAATCACCTGAGGATCTACTAGTAATCTCTCAGAGATTATTCGGTAAACCAGGTAAGGCTTGGGAACCTTAATATTAATCAAGCAATTCTAATGCAGAGGGCCTCATACCCCACTTTGGGAAATACCAAACCACACACGCGCTCTGTCTGAATTCATCAGGGATTGAACTACATGTTAACAAGAGAACTTGACAGTTAATAGTCTGGATATCTGCAGCTTTGACTCTGAATGTTGGCCAAGTTCATCATGAATTACAAGCATTTCTGAATATGAAAATGAATGTTTGCCTCTATAAATTGACCACAACTGATGGCTCACATTTATATCTGGCTTTAATGGTGTATCCTCTTCACTTTCGACTCATCTATTCACTAGGTTCACTAATCCACTTTTATTAATTTATTCATGTAACAATTATTTACAGAGCATTCTCTATGTGCCAGGTACTGGATGGAACGCTAAAGGAGACAAAAATCTTCACCCTTTTAGGCTAATGTCTTAGCAAAAGAGACACAGACAGCAAAACACCAATGTAATAAGTAAGTAAATGACATAGTGAGTTAGAGTCAGAAGGTGGTAAGTGCTATGGAAGAACAGGCTGAGGGAGCTCAAGGGTACGGATGGGCAAGGGGCTGGGACAAGGGCCATGGGAACAGACAATGAAAAATGACACTTGGGCAAAGTCTTGAAGGAAATAAGGGATGTAGAGTAAGGGCCCAGGGTTGCAGAGAGATGTAGAAAGATGTAGAGCAAGGGCCCAGGGGTGTAGAGGGATGTAGAAGGATGTAGAGCAAGGGCCCAGGGGTGTAGAGGGATGTAGAGTAAGGGCCAAGGCCTCAAGAATAGCCGAGGGTCACAGAAAAGGGGCAGGAGGACGGTGTGTGGGGAGAGCCCAGGAATGGAGAAGAGGCAGCACAGTCTCACAAGCAGCAGAGACTGAATCACGGGGGTCAGGGCTTTGACTTGAACTCTGAGTGGAATGAGACGCCATGGAAACATGATGAGCAGAGAAATGAGAGTATTTGGGTCCTTTTTAAAGGCGCTGAATGTATTCAACAGGATTCACCATTGAGTGGATTTCTAGCGCTATGCCAGGCACTGAGGTTGGTGCTGTTTGTGAAGATGAGTGGACAGCCCCTGCTCTCAGAGTGCTCCTAGGCTCTGGGCCTCAAGAACTGCTAGTAGCAGTCAACATGTGCATATTTAAAACCTAGTATCCTCAGGGTGCATGGGTGGCTCAGATGTTAAGCATCTGCCTTTGGCTCAGGTCGTGATCCCAGGGTCCTGGGATCGAGTCCCACATCGGGCTTCCTGCTCCGCGGGAAGCCTGCTTCTCCCTCTCCCACTCCCCCTGCTTGTGTTCCTGCTCTTGCTATCTCTCTCTGTGTGTCAAATAAATAAATAAAACCTTTAAAAAATAAAATAAAACCTAGTATCCTTGCCCCTTGCATAGCTAGCCCTCTGCTCGGTGTTGACTCCATGATCTGGGTATCTGCATACTGCCCGGTCCCGGGATAGAGCTGGAAGAGCTCGGTCAGATCAGTCCGGACATGTAGGTGCCCAGCCCTGCCCTGAACACACTGTGTGGCCTTTGTCCAGACGTGAACCCCTCCTTTTCTTGGCTTTCCCATCTATTTACACAATTTCCTGCAGAAGTATATTTGTGAGGTCTGATGAGATAACCGGTACTGAGAGCTTTCCTATGTAATGGAAAACTGGCAATTTTAATTTTCCCTCAAATTATCATACTCTAAAATAAATAGAGTCGAGGAGATTCTCCAGCTATTCCTTCTGGCAGCGCTGCTTCAGCTGAAGACCGTCTATAAGTTGGCAGAGCAGAAGCTAAGAGAGACTTAGTTCCTGGAGATAAAACCTGCTAGTTATCAACAACCGAAATTCTGAGAGAGGGTCTTCTGGGGAAGAGCCATTTGTAGCAACACCCTCTTTTTAGAATTGCAACTTGCTTGCCTCCTGCTAGCTAACTCATTTTGTTGGGGAAGGATGTGAAAAGTCTCATTTAATTTCAGCCTCAAACATAATTCTAAATGATCAGACTTGCTCACCTCACCTGTCAGTCATCAATAGACATGTCAGAGACAAAACATCCATTCCGAGGAGATGGAAAGTGGAAGGACAGGTCTCAAGAAAGCCAGAAGAATTAGGATTATGGATGTGTTTGCCTTAAGTATGCATATGCAACCTTTATGAATAGCAACACGTTTTTTAATCCAATGCTTATGATGTAACCTCCCTGAGATCAGGGAAATTCAGGGATTTGGCAGGCAACTGGGGAAAGAGGCACGCAATACAATGCTACTTCACACCGCACTCTGCTTTGGAGCTAAGCTACTCCAGATGTTCTTCTTTTGTCTTCATTTAATAGTTTCCCTAAATACAATGTCTTAGTAGCAGCCAAGGCAGCAAAATATACAACATACTAATTAATAGCAAGATGCTTACCTAAGCAATTCTGTCTCTGAGTAATTATATTTTTAGAGCTTTATTTTTTTTTTCTTTTACCTTTCTTCTGTCAGATTTTACTAGAGGAATAGGGGAGTATTAGGAACACATAAAATCTTATGTGGTTGTAGCGTGATTACACTTACTTAAGCAGTAAGAAATAAGCAATACAGGGCACCTGGGTGGCTCAATCGGTTAACGTCTGCCTTCGGCTAAGGTCATGATCCCAGGGTCCTGGGATCGAGTCCCGCATCGGGCTCCCTGCTCAGCAGGGAGTCTGCTTCTCCCTCTGACCCTCCCCTCTCGTGCTCTCTATCTCTCATTCTCTCTCAAATAAAAAAAAAAAAATTTAAAAAAAAAAAAAAAAAAAAGAGGTCGCCGCCGCCATGGCCAGCCAGTCGCAGGGCATTCAGCAGCTGCTGCAGGCCGAGAAGCGGGCCGCCGAGAAAGTGTCGGAGGCCCGCAAGCGAAAGAACCGGAGGCTGAAGCAGGCCAAAGAAGCAGCTCAGGCTGAAATTGAACAATACCGTCTGCAAAGAGAGAAGGAGTTCAAGGCCAAGGAAGCTGCGGCTCTGGGATCCCATGGCAGCTGCAGCACCGAAGTGGAGAAGGAGACCCAGGAGAAGAAGACCATCCTCCAGGCCTACTACCAGCAGAACAGGGATGAAGTCCTGGATAACCTGCTGGCCTTTGTCTGTGACATCCGGCCAGAAATCCATGAAAACTACCGCATAAATGGAAAGGGGAGGAAGGAGCAGCTCTGCGTGCAGATTGGCATGTTCGATGCCGTTATGGAATACGAAGCTTCAGCAAAGCTTGAGTAGTCACATCCTTGTGAAAAGGCATTAAATTATTTCTGTATATCATGTAGTAGGTCCCTTCACTTCTTGGAGAATAGCAAATCTAGCTGCTTTGTACAAACGTAGAGCTTATCCAAAGATTTTCTCCTTTTACCTCATGTTTCTTAGAAATTTAATGTGTATGCGTTGTCTGTTTTCCTATGCCTTTTAGCTCAAGCAACATATGTATCAGTACTTTTTCTTTCTTAGATGTAG